TCTGCACCTGCATCTGCTAGTAGATAATAAATATGAAAAGAAAGTCCCTACCTCTTCTGCCCCTACAGTTTGTCCGTCAAATTTATTCGTTGCTTGCAAATCTAGGCCGTATCAGCGGCAGTTCTTTCCTAGAGGGAACTACCACAGCTCCAGAGTCTCTAAAAAAAATTCAACTAGACCTTAGTCTTATGTCTATAAAATTTCGGTTACCGTACATCTTTTCATAATTTGCACTTAAATTACTTTCCTAAAGAGAAGAGCATACAAATCTATTGATCAAGTATTTGTTGTCTCTGGCTTCAGCCCTCTTCTTGATCGAGAAAAAGTTTGGGATTGGGTATCCTCCCGAGTAACGCAACCAAACGAGTTCACATTACTAGATATACGAATATAATCCACCTAAACAATGGTAAATAGATGTTAAGAGTCTCTCCACTAAATGTCTATATGAAACTAGCTATATAGGCTAGGGAAACATGCCAGTAAAATGAAAAAAAACAGAGTGACCCTGAAAGTGGCCTTTTTAAGGTATTTTTACAATGTCCAGATAAACGGAGTGAGTCAATGAAGAGTAGTTTGAATGGATTGCTAGAAAATTAAAGATAATCTTCCTTTAGGAGTGAAAAATTGAACGAGTATGTACAGGAAAGATGAAGACATATATATGAAATTTATTCATCCTATTTCGTTTATGATGCTAACTAAAATAAAAAGAAATATTGGCGCCTATTAAAACGAGTTCATAATACACATGGGAATCTTTCAAAATGTAATCATTCAACTGGCACTAATTTGGATATTATAAGTCAGGTAACATTAAAATTAGTACTAGCTGATCTCCAGATAAATGTATAAATAAGAAGTTAATGTCGGTTGAAAGTTGTACGATAAAATGACCACAGTATTTTGATAAAAAAATATTTAATTAATCAATTAACTTGAATATTATCTCAATTAATGGCGATTCCATTGCATTTCTATACTATAAGCAAATGTAACAAAAAACTAACCCGAAACATGCAAGAATGTAGAAGAAAGGCAGGAAGGTACATCGGCATCATAGTCAATCGCTTAACCTTCTCTGTGTCTTTCATCTCGATTTCCTTTATCGAATTCCTGGTATTGTCTCTAGATTCCCCAGACTTTGAATCAGCCTCTGTGAGATTCTCCAACTTTAAATTTGTTGTTCCTTTCGTCACTTCTTTATCTTCTAGGATATTGCATCCGTTTTCCTCCTCTTCGTCACCATCATGACAATTATCACTAATACCACAAGTAAAACGAATCGGTGTCTTATCCTCAGAGTCGTATGAGGCGACCGGCATAAGACTCGACCTATTCGGTCTTGCGGATATGTCGGCGAGTTGGTTAGAAGGCAGTGGGCCACGGGTTGAGGAATGCAGTTGTCGCAAGATCCATTCACCGCTCCAAGAATAAGTTATAGAATGAGGCGGAGACCGCGAAAGATGGATAGTCCGAAGTAGCTCCTGCAGGCTGTTTCGTTGCTGTTGCATCTGAGAGTTGTTCACAAGAGAAATAGTAGGCCCAACGTCAGTGGAGACTACGAGCGTCAACCCGGACCCGAGACCAAAAGATGACTGGAGAGCCGTGGAAACAGGAAGGAGACCATTCCAGATAGCAGGGGCGAAACTTTGCACCTCAAGAGATAAACGGAAAACGGGAGAGAGAAGGAGAATAGGTGGCTCAAAGCGCTGGAGGTTGTGCTGTGCTGTTGTAATACCGTGACATCGGTCACTGAGATAAGTTTGGTCGAATGAAGAGGTGACTGTCTTATTTCTGTCCAAATTTGATTTGCCGATCTGATTACACTGCAGAAGGATGGACTGGTTAGGTTCAGTAGAGGCGGTAGTGATTATGATATCATGAGGCTGCGCTAGAAGACGTAGCTCGCCAAGAAAATAGGCAAGTTGGCGCTGATGAAGCAGACCAGGACTGTCAGTATGGTAGTAGTGGAAATAGTGGCGGGTTAGTGCAAAGGTTGTCTCTGCTGCCGAAAGACCGAAAAGGCGAGCGAAAGAATAGCCTTAACAAGGGAGAAGAATAGAAGAAAGAAGTGGTAAAAAACTGAATAGAAATAAAATATTCAGACTAAAGAGAAGAATAAACAAATACAAGTTTGTTGGGATGGTGAAATAAAAATAATTGTGATCGGTTTGCCATAGCTTCTAGTAAAAGCAATAGTAGTTTTAACTAAATTATGAACAATTTGAGTTTGCTATCAAAGTCATTGCATATAATAGTGATATACTATCGATCTATAGAGATACACTTATTTATCGGACAGACGATCACAATATAAGAGCTGTATTCATTTTATTTCGTTTAGGGTGATGAAGGACTGGTAGTTGAATTTTCAAACAATCTAAAGGCAAGAAGTTGTTTGACCTTATTTTCGCAACTTGGTCATAATGGTAGGAAGACTGATAGAAACGCACCTTGTC